AACCTCACAATCCCTCCCTGATTTTATCGAGATAAAACCACAAGGCGTGACAAGGCGTGACAAGGACAAAGTGAACTGTCACTGTCAGAGCTTCCTGCCAAGGAAGGAATCCTAATTGTATCAGAAGTAAAACCAGGCACCTGATTCTTCACTAAGAATGTAGGATGGGTGACCAAAGAGACCGCAGTACACTCCCTAGACCAACGAAGACAAGCATGAAGACATGACAAGCATGAGTCTGTACCCTGAAGCCAAGACAATGAGAAAAACCAACTTCAGAGAGGCACTCCCAAGGGGCTCTAGTCAAGGAATCTAGCATGAACAATAGATTCCAATGAGGGGCTAGCTGCCTGACTTTAGGTCTGACCAGGCCAAAGCTTCTAACCAGAGCAAACAAGGAAGAAGTGCTGACTTCTTGCCTGCCATGAAAAACAAAGATGCCAGCATAAGCAGAGTGATAGCTAGCTTTAGTTCCAGGAGCACTTTCTGAATAAAGACAGAAGAAAATCTGCAATCACTGGAACAGGGGCCTTGATTGAATCAATCTGCCTCTCACCACACCAACCACAGAATATTCTCCATTTGGATTGGTAGACAGAAGAAGAGAAAGACTTGATTGATCTTGCAGTGCTCTCCAACACATTCTCAGGAAAGCCTGCCTGAGAAATGCCTCCTGTGATAGCCTCCACTTGTGAAGGTGGAGGATCTGAGGCTGTGAGCACACCACTTAGGACAGAGGCTGCCAAAAGGAGGTCTAGACTGAGTGGCAACCACAAAGGCTGGTCAACCAGCAGAAATAGTTACTCTGGAAACCAGAGCTGCCATCGGCCAAAGATGAGCTATCAGAAGAGAATAAGAATGTTCTCAAAACTTCTGAAGCACCCTGCCCGCCAGATCGAATGGAGGGAATGCACACGCTTTCAACCCATTCCTATCCAGAGAGAGAGCATCAACTGCCCAAGCCTGTTGATTGGGGACCGGAGAGACATAGGTTGGTAAATTAGCATTCAGAGCTGTGGCAAACAGATCTATATTTTAGTTTAACTTATTCCTTAATATCACATTACTGTTTTTATACTTTATAGAATACAATCTTGTTAAAACCTGTTAAACATTCAAAGAATGTTATTGTAAAAACTCACTAAAAACAAGCCTATGCCTGGCAATAAGTCCATGGATACATGCTCTTCAGTAAAATGAATAACAAATGCTTTTGTTTTATTGTAATGGTCCTTTCCCCTGATTCGGAGTAGGTAATATGTAATATTCCACCCAACACTCCATTAATCCCTCATCCACACCTCAACACCCCATTCATCACCCCACTCACATCCTATCACCCCATTCATCCCCCACCCACATCCCTACACCCCATTCATACCTCATCTACATCTCAACATCCCATTCATCACCCCACTCACATCCTAACACCCCATTCATCACCCCACTCACATCCTATCACCCCATTCATCCCCCACCCACATCCCTACACCCCAATCATACCTCATCTACACCTCAACATCCAACTGATTCTCCACCCACACACTCACACCTCACTTACCCCCACCCTCATCCCAACCTGTACCTCACTCATCCCCCATTCATATCCAAATGCCTAACATACTCACTTCCCAACACCCCACTCACCCCTCCCACATCCCAACACCCTGCTTACCCCTACCCACACCCATACAACCCACTTACCCACACTGACAACCCTACACCCTCTTACAATATCCCTATCTGCACTGGGTTTCATCTAAGGATATATGGAAACAAAGATTCATTTCTAATTCTACTCTATGATTTAAAATGAATATAAATTTCAGGTTCAATAAAATGCATAAAATCTCCATGAAATATCAACTTTGCAAATCCTATATGTTATACTAACTAACTATTTAATATATTCATCTAAGTAGAACATAGATTCTGAATTTTTATCAGATCAACTTTTATATATGTATATCAAAAAAGACCATTAACATTAAGAGATCATCTACACTATGAGACCTCTCTTAACCTTTTCCTTATTACAACTGTTCAAACGGAAATTCAAGACCTCATATGCATATTGTTATTTACAGAGCTGAGTCAGCTGACACAGACATATCAGCAACACATGATCAGCTGACTTCTTAGAAAGCCTGCTGAAGAGGTCTACATTCCAATATTCCTAAACCTATATAAGGACTTCTTTTTGTAAACTGCTGTTCAAATTTATAAAAACTATAAAATGATTCTCAACAACCACTTATTGTTGTTTAACATGAAAGTGTCATTACCCTTCTATGTTAACATATGATGACATACTTTCATTGTGAACAGTTATACATTGTATAGAAAAGAAAATTTTATCAGTTGACAAATTTTTATTTATTTCAATTGATAACTTTCATTTTCACTACACATGATATCTGACATATTGTGGTCAGTATACAAATATGTGACATGAATTTATAACTAACACTTTGTTTAAAATATTATACAGAGGGATGGTAATTTTAACACACAAAAAAATTGCTGTTCCATGAGTGAATAAAAATCTTGTAAATTTTCTATGCTGATCAAGATATTGACCTGGCATTTTTATAAATATATATAACAGGTGTCAAAAGTGCTCCTTCAATGAAGGTTGAGTTCTCACTGTTTAGTTAACAAGGTGTATCGACTATATGAAAAAGAGCAGGTATCAACTACACATATTGAAATAAATCAATATACTTAATAGTTAACGAATGATTCTAATTAAAATTGTTTGATTGTATACATGGTGGAAGCTCGAGCAAAAAAAAAATGTTAATTGCTTAACAGAAATATTGTTATTCACAAAAAAAATAATAAAAGAAATTCTCAATTGAATTACAATGATTTTTGTGAGCAGAGTCCTAAATATTTATTTTTCTTTGTACTTATTTCTCATCTGTACATTTTATTTTTCTATGAAAAAATCAAAGTACACTTTGAACGGTGAGCTTGACTCATTCAAACATAAGGACCTTGTGACTCTGGACTGAACATCTCTCTGCGTAGTAACACAACACACTATTTGATCTTAACTTGTTACATGATTGATGGACTTAACTTGTGTACCAAAGCTCTCATTAAACAACTTGAATAGATGTTTTGCTTTAGAACTAGGTTAACAATGAACATGACCTCTATATTATAGAGAATGATATTACAAAAAAGATGATATTCAATCACAGATGAACTGCTCACCAGTACCAAAGCTCTCATTAAACAACTTGAATAGATGTTTTGCTTTAGAACTAGGTTAAGAAAAGAGACAATTTACATAGTGTATTTTAATTACTATACACTCTTTACTTACCTTAGAAGAATACAGATCAGATCGATCAGATCAATTTTCTGTTCCCCAAACACATTGAAGTATCTGTTTTATCAACTGAATTTCACTTTGGATATAGACAGACTGTCTACAGCTAATGCTGACTACGACACAAGTTTTCTCCCAAGCCACGTGTTTGATCACAGAATAATTTCTCCTATTTGTGTTGTTTAATCATAGTTTAACTGCTCCCAAAACACTTCAATTCATTTCTATAATACTGCCAAATCATTACTTTTTGAGGCAGTTTGTGGATATTGTTTATCCATCAATCCCTATGTCCATGAAAAGATCAAAACTGACATGGATTTTAGTACTAATAGATTTTGTAACATTGGTCCACAAAACCAAGCACTAACCAAAACACATCTTTCTATAAAACTATGACAGAGAAAGGTATATCACAGATTTATCCTATAACAAATAATCCCATAGGTCAAATGTACAAATTCTGACTTGAAACTCAGAAAAGATATTAATGCAGAGCAATTAATAATGAGTGTTTACTAGATCAATATTTTTAAGATAATATCTTCCAAAGAACCTCAACAGTATTTCAAAAAAATCTACATATGATATAATATAGTCATGTCGACAACCATAAAAATTTCATCTCACTAAATTAGTTTACTACAATTTTCTGGTACCAGAATATACTTGTTGGAACATGTTTTATCAACTAAATCATTATTAATTTGTTTTTTTCCTAAAACTACGTTGGTAGAAAATCTGTAACTGCTTTAGTCATACTGAATTAACATCCTTAATTCGGGTGAAATGAAGTGTAAGTCAGGATGATGGTAATTCTCTATATCTCATTGTAATTAAGTTACACACAAGGAGGCCCCCCAGGGATGAGCACATCCATTCTATCAATTATGGGTGTATCAAAAGGAATACACTGTCGACAAATGGCTATTACAATACATGATGCAATTACCAATGGTCAACCTTCCATTCTAAACACAAAAAGTTGGGGGCTATTTATTATCATCATAGCTTTAATTTGTATGCAGCTCCATGTCTAGTGTCTTTATCAGGGTAATTGTCTGTACTTGTACTAATGACAATAGAATAACTCTCTTCCATCGTGTCAGAAGGAGATTAGGAGGGAGCAACAGAGCTGATAATTTGATATGTAATTGGTTTGAAAGACAGAGACTTTCACTTTGGTCTTCATATACAACAAGACATAAAGATTTCTACATGTCAATGTCATGTCAAGGTCACTGTTGTTTTCAAGCACATCTCAAGAACTTTTAATTACCATTTGTCACTGTTATATTCAATGTTACTATGTTGAATTCGTATTTGTTACAATCACTGTCAATTACAATCCATGTTGTCATGGTGATATTTGTCACAATCACTACCATTCACAATCAGTGTTGCCACAGTGATTCCACTTTTGTTACAATCACCAGCATTAACAATCCATATTGTCATGATAACTCACCATCTTTCATGGTAAAGTACTAAATAATAAAGGTTACCATGAACAACTTTCATTGTTTACGAATACAACCAAGAACATTGTCAAGGTCACTGCCTTGTGAAATCAAGGTTGGTTAGGTCGAATATGTTTGTTACAAAGGTTGCTATCAATAAAACCAACTAAGATCAACAATATCATCTCAAATTTGTCTTATTATGCTGAATACCCAGTATCAAGGTCACTTTTCTCCTTACTAAAAGTTATATCACTTGTATCAAGGTCACTTTTCTCCTTATTCAAAGTTATATCACTTGTATCAAGGTCACTTTTCTCCTTATTCAAAGTTATTTCACTTGTATCAAGGTCAATTTTCTCCTTATTCAAAGTTATTTCACTTGTATCAAGGTCAATTTTCTCCTTATTCAAAATTATATCACTTGTATCAAGGTCACTTTTCTCCTTATTCAAAGTTATTTCACTTGTATCAAGGTCACTTTTCTCCTTATTCAAAGTTATTTCACTTGTATCAAGGTCACTTTTCTCCTTATTCAAAGTTATTTCACTTGTATCAAGGTCACTTTTCTCCTTAGTCAAAGTTATTTCACTTGTATCAAGGTCAATTTTCTCCTTATTCAAAATTATATCACTTGTATCAATGTCACTTTTCTCCTTATTCAAAGTTATTTCACTTGTATCAAGGTCACTTTTCACCTTATTCAAAGTTATTTCACTTGTATCAAGGTCAATTTTCTCCTTATTCAAAGTTATTTCACTTGTGTCAAGGTCAATTTTCTCCTTATTCAAAATTATTTCACTTGTATCAAGGTCAATTTTCTCCTTATTCAAAGTTATTTCACTTGTATCAAGGTCACTTTTCTCCTTATTCAAAGTTATATCACTTGTATCAAGGTCACTTTTCTTCTTATTCAAAGTTATATCACTTGTATTAAGCCAACATCATTATCAGAAATTGGTTCCTTTCATTTACACATATTCACATATTAATTTCCAACAGTTTTACATTCATCTCTTTTTCAATATAATTCTGCAAGTTTTATATGAGAGCAAATCATAAACTTTTGAACTGATTTGATCTCATTTTAAAATTTTTAAACACATCTATTAACTTCGAACGTATGGTAATTGACCTCCTACAAGGAATTGTCAGTTACCTCCCCTAACACCAGGAATACACTCCAATAGCAAAACAATAGTGTACACAATGTACAGGTCTCTGATTCCTGTAACAAAACAATAGTTTACCCAATGTACAGGTTTGACTCCTACAGCATAACAACAGTGTATCAAATGTATAGGTCTGACTCCAACAGCATAACAACAGTGCATCAAATGTACAGGTTTGACTCCTACAGCATAACAACAGTGTATCAAATGTACAGGTTTGACTCCTACAGCAAAACAACAGTGTATCAAATGTATAGGTCTGAATCCTACAGCAAAACAACAGTGTATCAAATGTACAGGTTTGACTCCTACAGCATAACAACAGTGTATCAAATGTACAGGTTTGACTCCTACAGCAAAACAACAGTGTATCAAATTTACAGGTTTGACTCCTACAGCATAACAACAGTGTATCAAATGTACAGGTTTGACTCCTACAGCAAAACAACAGTGTATCAAATGTACAGGTTTGACTCCTACAGCAAAACAACAGTGTATCAAATGTACAGGTTTTACTCCTACAACAAAACAACTGTGCATCAAATTTACAGGTTTGACTCCTACGGCAAAACAACAGTGTATCAAATGTACAGGTTTGACTCCTACGGCAAAACAACAGTGTATCAAATGTACAGGTTTGACTCCTACAGCAAAACAACAGTGTATCACATGTACAGGTTTGACTCCTACAGCAAAACAACAGTGTATCAAATTTACAGGTTTGACTCCTACAGCATAACAACAGTGTATCAAATGTACAGGTTTGACTCCTACAGCAAAACAACAGTGTATCAAATGTACAGGTTTGACTCCTACAGCAAAACAACAGTGTATCAAATGTACAGGTTTTACTCCTACAACAAAACAACTGTGCATCAAATTTACAGGTTTGACTCCTACGGCAAAACAACAGTGTATCAAATGTACAGGTTTGACTCCTACGGCAAAACAACAGTGTATCAAATGTACAGGTTTGACTCCTACAGCATAACAACAGTGTATCAAATGTACATGTCTATTCAGAATATAGTCTAAATGTAAACCTCCAATATTGATAAGGTAAACAATTCTTTTAAAAGCCAGTCTTTATTTAAACACAATCACCAAACTCATTTATGATAACTGGGCCTATTTCAATGAACAGTTAAATGTATACTGTGTATTCATTCCTCAATGAATTCATATGGAATCCCAAATTAAACAGTCAAGCTATTTTGGGTTGAACTGATATAGTACCTTACCAACATCCCTGTCACAACATTTCCAGACTTTTGGCAGCACATGAATACAATATACCTACGATTGAGTGAGTGAGTACTTACAACAATATACACTGTACGTACTGTACATATATCTGATATTCTATTTAAAACTGTAAAGTTCACGTCTTCATGAATCAGACTGTGGAGTGCATATCACTATACACAAGAACATGGTTCTGTATATCAACACGAAATCAATGAGCCTTGCAATTACACAAACATCATAGGTACCAGTTTCAATAATAACATTAAGTGGTTAGTTAATTGGAAATTGAGGACTTTTAATTACAAATTACACAGCCAATATTTTATAATGTTATTTCAACATTAAAAAGGGTTATTGAATTTTAAAATTATTTTAATATTTGTGCTCATTTCATGTCATTTAATGTCTAACATGAAAAACACTTAAGTTAAGATAATGTTAACATCATTTAATGTTATGAAAACTTGGTACTCTTCATCCCATCCTTCAGCTGTAGGTCCTCTCTAAACTTGGTGTATCCATTGTTGTCAAACTCCATTCATCTAAAATCTGGTCATAGCCATTCACAATCAAGTGTTCTAAATTGTTCTAAAAATGTTGTAAAGGATCATCAATGAAAAAGACCTTATAATGAATTTGGTTGATGTTCTAAGTGATGTTTGAACATTTTGACTATCTTGGATCCAAAAATTTATTTTGAAATTTTAAAATACTGATCAAAAGTAAAGATCAAATGATTCTGTCATTTTTCATAATTTAAGCAGGTCATGATATAGCCAATATCAGGCTGACCTGACAAAATCAGGTGAGTTGGTGACACTGTATTGTTGACCCCTTAACAATCCTATCTATTTTACCATTAAAATTAAGACTGAGGACATTGAATATTGAATAAAAAATATCCATTAAAACACCTAAGTGACCCAACTAATAATTCAATTATGCAAACAGGTAAATGTGTTCACTTTCTCAATTGAAGGACTGTATTTCAGAACACCTTAAAAACCAAGCATTCATGCTGAACATCCTGTCAGTCCTAGTTCTTTCTTATGCAGTGTTCAAGCAAAGTTTAAATGAGGTTAAAAGAGAAGAAATATTTATATACCTGTAAGCATTAACTGCAGAATATTTGTTTCATCTGTCTGGTGGTAAGCGACTGGTCTGTGGTCTGCAAATGACTTGGATCATGAGCAGTCCGATGTCAAACAACTTAGACAATGAGCATTGAAGTGGTAGTTGCAGCTCATTTATAGTATTTTAGAATGTCAGCTTACACAGCAGAATAAATCTCTAAAACCCGGAAACCTGACTGTTGTATGAACCCAGCGTTGTTTAACATAATAGCTTAGTTTGCAATGATGAATAAGCAATGCTTTTATCATCATTTAAGAAAAAAATGTTTAAAACTTGTATCATTCTAAAATCTGCATACCGATACATATACTTGCACATAGCTAGAATAATGTTATACTTTTATGTTTTAGTTGACAGTAATAGATCTGAAATGCATGACTGACTACCTTAAATCAAGTCATAGAGCATTTACATTGAGAGCGAGATTTAATCCCCTACCTGCTGTTGACCTTGATGAATATTTAGTATTCTGGTCCTTGTCCACAGCTGACCAATGACCGTTATTTCAATATGTCCTTGTCCTCCAGACTTTCAGCAGGAAAATAATAAAGATATAGAATTCCACAGATACCTTTTTTATCATCAGCAAAATAGATTAAGTTTCTGGTGAATATATCGCCTTAAGCCTCTTAAAGTTCAACTACTTCCCAGTGTGATTTGTCCTCAAATAAAACCCTCCTCCATCCCCTCCCTCTATAATATGTCAGTTATACTGTCCGTGCCAGTTGTAGCCAACCCCAACACCAGTAGTCATGATTAAATGATATTTCCACAATGTAGTGAATTAAGATTGTTTTAAAGAGATTATTTGTTACACAACACAGATTTTGTATGGTATGGTACAAAACACTGATGTTTATAAGCATAAAATGTTCTAATCGTCTAGGATTATTGGCATGTTTCTAATCATTATATATGTCTGACCAGTAAACAGAAGAATCTGTCAACAGACGATGGAAAAAATTCTGAACAAACTAGTCTTTTCTGACTGCATACACTAATACAAAGAATTGTATCAGTGAGCAGAGACTATCCTTTGTTACATCTGTATAGTAACCCATCTTATAACTAGTAACATCAGAATCATAGTATCATGTTACATCTGTATAGTAACCCATCTTATAACTAGTAACTCCAGAATCATAGTATCATGTTACATCTGTATAGTAACCCATCTTATAACTAGTAACATCACAATCATAGTATCATGTTACATCTGTATAGTAACCCATCTTATAACTAGTAACATCACAATCATAGTATCATGTTACATCTGTATAGTAACCCATCTTATAACTAGTAACATCAGAATCATAGTATCATGTTACATCTGTATAGTAACCCATCTTATAACTAGTAACTCCAGAATCATAGTATCATGTTACATCTGTATAGTAACCCATCTTATAACTAGTAACATCAGAATCATAGTATCATGTTACATCTGTATAGTAACCCATCTTATAACTAGTAACATCACAATCATAGTATCATGTTACATCTGTATAGTAACCCATCTTATAACTAGTAACATCAGAATCATAGTATCATGTTACATCTGTATAGTAACCCATCTTATAACTAGTAACATCAGAATCATAGTATCATGTTACATCTGTATAGTAACCCATCTTATAACTAGTAACATCAGAATCATAGTATCATGTTACATCTGTATAGTAACCCATCTTATAACTAGTAACTCCAGAATCATAGTATCATGTTACATCTGTATAATAACCCATCTTATAACTAGTAACTCCAGAATCATACTATCATGTTACATCTGTATAGTAACCCATCTTATAACTAGTAACATCAGAATCATAGTATCATGTTACATCTGTATAGTAACCCATCTTATAACTAGTAACATCAGAATCATAGTATCATGTTACATCTGTATAGTAACCCAACTTATAACTAGTAACATCAGAATCATAGTATCATGTTACATCTGTATAGTAACCCATCTTATAACTAGTAACATCAGAATCATAGTATTGTGATACATCTGTATAGTAACCTATCTTATAACTAGTAACAAAATAACCAGAATGATAGTACCTAGCAAAATATTAACCCATCTTTTAACAAGTACCTGTTATATGTATGCTATAACCAGAATCATATTAGTAACTATAGTTACACCTACAGTTATAGTATCACCAAACTAGTAACAAAATTATGTGTATAACCAGAATTGTAACTATAGCAACACTTTAACCAGTAACAAACTGATTGGTATCGTCACTTATAAGCACTGACATCAAATCAACAAATATTATCATAAATACTAGCTATATAATCATCAAACGAACACAGAATCTATAGATTTTCTCTAACGTGGAGTATGACGGAACTCGCACCTGC